AATACGTACTTGGTGATCAGACTTTACGGCAAAAGCAAAATGATTCCCATAGCGCAATTGCAATTCCCCAAGAAACTGAAATTCAAAAGATCTCGGTTCTTTCCACTTTCTGTCGGGGTTCTGTGTGATGTCGTGTGGACACACGGAAAAATAATGCGTATTAGGTCGGGATTTCGTTTGGATTCTGCCTGCATTGGACCCCGTGTGATAAAGTCCTAAATCTACACACACATATATAAACTGAGAATAATATGAGGGATCATAGCATTAGAACTCAGAAAGATTCTTGTTCCCTATTAGATTTATAGTGTTGCAGGTCATCCTAGTCAGAGCTAGTTCCAAGACAGAATGAGTTCCTGACATGCACCCAAAATCCATTCATTTTCACCTTTTGTATAATGGAAAGAAGAGAGATGCCTTTTTAGGCTATCCTAACTCTCACTGAAACATATCACGAGAACTAGATTATTACCAGCTATCAAGAGCACTTCAGTAGGAGTGAACTGCCATTCCACAGCTATACCAGTTTGATGCCCCTTTAACTATCATGGCATTATCCTATGGAAACTTGGGATTGATAGTTTGATTTGATCATTCTAGTGCACTCCTTTCAATTGCAGCAATAAATCCATTTATTAATTTACAATACCTATTCCTCTAACTCTATTAAAGAGAACCAGCGTGGTGTAGTGGTTTGAACATTGGACTACAACTCTGAAGATCAAGGTTCAATTCCCTGCTCAACTATAGAAACCCACTGGGTGACCTTGGGTGAGTCACACACTCTCAGCTCCCAAAAACCCTGTGATAGGTTCACCATAGGGCACACAAAAACAACAAACTTTCATCAAAAACTTTCAAGATGCCGAAGAACAAGTCAAATTAGAAATCTAAACATTAAACCATAAACCTAACAAACAGAATCAAGAAAAGAAAAATATGCTTGTTTGCTCAGGGTTTTTCCCAATTAGTTTTCTGCCTTTTGTGTGTAATCAGTTACCCCAATATCTAAGTAACTGTTTTTAATGGGTTATTTTATTGTTTAATTTTTGTTTTATTATGTTTAACTATTTGGTTTATCAGGTATATTTTTATTGTAATCTGCTTGGAGAATTTTTAAAGTGAAAAACGGTATAACGTTTTCTCAAATAAATAACAGAAAATTGCTTGAACAAAAATATGAAACTAGGAACTTTCAAACTGCTGATCTCTGCCTGCAATGCTACTTATCATGTGCTAAGAAAACTACAGAACACTCACAGCAGCATAGTAATAAATGGTTAAAAATAGCAATGAAGTGACAGCAATATGTTATTCAATTCTCCTCATCTGTTCATGGGTATGATCCAAATAAACATTACATGAATTTTTGTTCCAATGGTGAGGGCAGAGTTTGGAAAAGTACAGTGACCATAAGCAGCCCCTTTTCTTGATTGAATACAGCTTGAGTTTCATCTATTCCAATGATTTAAAAAAAAACACCAATGAAAAAACAGGCAGCCATAAAAAGAAAACTCAAGAATGATACCAAATGTTGCTGCACATGTGTTGATTTGTAATGTAACATTTGGGCTGTTAGTTATGCTAATGGAACAGTTTCACATCTTGCATTTTGATGTATTTGCTTTTAATGGTGATGCAGACATAGCTTTTTCCAATTTCCTAGTTATATTCTTATGTGCAATGTTCTGCTGTCACCACCAGGCCTGGCCTGGTAATAAGATTAAAATGGAGAAAATGAACAAGAATGCAATTATATACATGTCTACTCAAGAACTAAGCCCCAGTATGACTCCTGGCATACTAGCAGAACCACTTGCCATCATTTTTCAGAAAGCCTGGAGAACAAGTGAGGTGCCAGAGGACTAGAGATGAGCAAACATGGTCCCTCTCTTCAAAAAAGGCAAAAAAAGAAGTTTCAGGAATGACAGACCAATTAGCCTTACATCAGTACTAGGAAAAATGTTAGAAGAGATTATACAGGAGTCCATCTGCAAGTATCTTGATGACAATGGAGTAATTAGTAGGGACCAGCATGGGTTTGTCAAGGACAAATCCCATCAAACTAACCTTATATCTTGTTTTGATTGGGTCGCTAGTTTTGTTGTTCTTGTTTTTGTGGGCTTCCAAGTTGTTTCCTACTTATGGCAAGCCTAAGGTGAGTTTCTTGGAAAGATTTGTTCAGAGGATGTTTGCCATTGCCTTCCCCTGAGGCTGAGAGCATGTGACTTGCCCAAGGTCATCCAGTGGGTTTCATTGCAGAGTTGAGAACCTTAGTAGATTCAATTAATCATATATCCAGTTAATGCAGTAAAGGTTTGCAGCCTAAAGGAAATAAGGCATCTTCTATTATATAACTAAGGGTCTGTACAGATAGCGCTTTGCGCTGTCATGGAGGCAGGGAAGGGGAGGGCAGCCACATGCCGGGCACCCCAACCCCACGCCAAAGACGTCATCATGGTGCAGCATCTTAACGCGCTGCGCCAGAAGAGGTGCAAAAGAGCCGCACAGCAGCTCTTGATGCATCCCTTCTACCGGCTCCGAAAGGACCGGCATTTTAGCGCTCCTTTCAGGGCTGGCAGAAGGGAAGATTGGGACTGAGGTGTGGGGCAGCCTCAGCCCCAATCCTCTGCTTCCCAGGATGGCCCACATCCACCCATCTGCATCCCCCTAAGTTTCAGCTAGTATAGTCAACCACAATAAGCGCCTCTACTGAGTTTAATTACACACGTTCCAAGCAAGCAATTTCTGGAACATGCCCTATTGACCAAGATTTAACTAAGAATTAACTTATCTCTCTACATGTCTTTGACACTCTGATATAGCTGATATGAGGTTGTTTTTTTTTTTAAAAAAAAGAAGAATTAGACCAGACCTTTGAAAAATCACTGTATGGAGTGATAGCTCCACAATCCCCAGACAAACATTTTGGTAGATCTGTCAATGGTTCCTGGCCATGACAACTACCATATATACTTGACTATCAGTCAACCTCATGTATAAGTTGAGGGCAGGTTTGGGGGCCATAATTATGAATTTTTATATGGCCCATGGATAAGTCAAGGGTAAAACTTAGGCAAATGTCTGAGTGAGGGATGTTTGGAAGGGCTGCTAACCCACACATAGGCATATTAAAGCACAAATGGGCACAAGAAAGGATTGAAAGGATGAAGGAAAGGAAGGTGATGCCAAAGAACTTACAAAACTCCAGCAGGAGTAACTTTTTTACTCACACTAAAGGATGGATGGATGGATGAGAGAGTAGAGAAGGGTCAGTGCTCCAGGGCAGACTACACTCTTACCTTTCACCAGAGGATGGTTCCTTTTTTCATAAGAGTTAAAGCACAGTATTTACATTGACCCATGGGTAAGTCAATTCAGGTTTTTCTGGTCAATTTTTAACTAAATTTTTTAGACTTATACATGAATATATACAGTAAGTAGATTATTTTGGTAAAGCATCAGTCTAGCCCTGAACACTAGATGCTGGAGACACATAACAGGATGAAGCCACCAATTCATACCCTGCTTATGAATGCTCTGTGGAATATGGCTGTCACTGTAACAAACAAAATAATGGGCTAGGTGGATTTTGTTCACACCAAAGCAATCTTTATAACTTTATGTTCATTTACAAGCTCAGTTCAAAGTACTGTTTTGAATCAATAATGCCTTACAGAGCTTGGGAACTTGAGAACAAATATAATTCTTCTTTTCTTGTGCCCATTTGTGCTTTAATATGCCTATGTGTGGGTTAGCAGCCCTTCCAAACATCCCTCACTCAGACATTTGAAAGCTGGTTACTAGAGGGAGGAACTTAATGGTAGTGGCTCCCAGCTGGGGAATTCTCTCTTGAAGGTTTACCAGGCATCAACATTGCCTTCCCGTCCCTACCATGTTAAGATTTTCTGTTCCCCCAGACCTTTCAGAATCCATATGACATTAATTTGAGTTTGTGTGGTCATTGGTTGGGTGTCTGCTCTTTGAGCTGTATTGTATTTTATTGTGCTGGATTTTGTATTACTGCATTTTTAGATTTGTTAACTTTACTGTTACATTATTGTCCTGTTTTAAAACAACCACTGATACCAAGAGAATTTGTTCTATAGATTCAGCCTAAATACAAACAATAAATATACAATATGTAAAATTATACCAACAGTAAGTCAGTTCAAAATACTGAAATGCTTAACAGTACACTTCTACATATGTCAACTTAGATGTCAACCATACATATTTTGATGGGTCTTTTCCCCAGGTAACTGTGTATAGGGCCTATCCCAAAGGCACCAGATCCCATTTGATCTTGGAAGCTAAGCAGGGTCAGCCCTGATTAGTACTTGAATGGGAGACCACCAATGAATACCAGGTGCTGTAGGCTATATTTCAGAGGAAGGTACTGGAAAAACCACCTCTGATTCCTCCTTACCTAAGAAAACACTATGATATTCATGGGGTCGCCATAAGTCTACAGGCAACTCGAAGGCATGCACACACAGTTGTGTATAGGATTACAACCTAAGAATGCAAATTACATTCTCTTTGGCACAGACTGAACAGCAGCTGGCAAGAGGCGCAAATCCTGGGAGAACATGAAACAAAATCTTGTACCTGGAATGATGCTTCTGCGGCAACTAAAGTATTCAGGTTCTTTCATGTTTATAGCCTTTCCGTCAGCCAAGAAATAACCTAATATTTCAGTAGTTCTAGCAAAATGTGGAGCTCCTCTGAGGAATGTGCTTACATTTTGATGTTTTCTGTAGACATTATGAACTGCTTCTGTACTATTAAAACGATGAATAAAAACAAAGCCATGGCGCAAAAGTGGATTGAAGGAATAATCTTTTGGGGAGAGAAAGAGAGGCTTTTACTCAAGCAGATGTTCTGCAACCACATGGATTGAAATGAGCATACAAGAACCTTAATGATTTAACCTATTCATTAAGGCAGTTTTTATTAAGGTGGCATTTTTGAGCATGGTAAGCATTATTTTAAAATAATGCATAATTTTATATTAATAGTATGTTGCTTGCTGTGTACCTTCGAATCATTTCTGACTTATGGTGACCCTAGAACCTATCATGGAGTTTTCTTACCAGAATTTGTTCAGAGGGGGTTTGCCTTTGCCTTCCTCGGAGGCTCAGAGGGTGTTATTTACCTAAAGCCTCCCAGTGGGTTTCCATGGCAGAGCTGGGACCAACATTCAAACCACTATACCATGCTGGTTCTCTATTAATAGTTTATTGTGGTTTAGTAGATTTTAATAATATCAGACCAGAACAGCAATAGCAAGTAAATTTCTATACCGCTCATCATTGTACTTAATCACTCCCTAAGCAGTTCACAATGTGTAAGATAATTGCTCCTAATAAGCTGGCTACTCATTTTAGCAACATACAGAAGGATGACAGGCTGAGTCAACCCTGGAGCCCTAGGATTGAACTCACAACCTTGTGGCTATGAATGGCTGCAGTATCAGCATTTAACCACTGCACCACCTTAAACAGTAGGAGAAAAGCAAGATATAGATAAATAAATGAAATAAAGTGAGAGTGATTTTTGTCAGTGCAACAACATGGGAAGAATCAAACTTCCCCTTCTTGCCCCTTCCGGCGGGCCCAAGGGGGGGAAATGGTGGCGTGTGCGCTCACGCAACCCCTGCCAACGCACGCGACCCCCCCGTGTGCTGCCGCCGCCGCCGCCACCACTGCAGCCACTTCCATGTATGTCACGGCCGCCATTTTGGA